CGATAATTAATTAAATATAAATATATATTAATAAAAATAAATATTATATCTTTAATAATTATAATATATTAAAATGTTAGTTCTCCAGAATAATACAAATAATATCAGAATAATAAAACATCAGGATTTTGTAAAACATATTTCATATACTAATAAGTCTACAGATATTATAATTGAGATTTTTTGGTTAATGCCAAAGGAGTGAATGAGGGAAGTGATGTAAAATATAAGTATAATTTGAGGAATAGATTTGTTTCTCATGTGTTTGATGTCATGGAAAAGACATAAACAATAAAGAATTGGAAAATAAAAGAAAAGCGTTTTCTATGAAGGCATTGGAGATCACTATCAGGAGTGTACAAACAATTCAAGTGAAACACTGGCGCCCATAAAGATAAGGTGAATGAAGGCACAGATTAGGGAAAGTTTGGTGAATAGTTCCCATTTGCAGAGTTTTAATGATAATAAGAGTGCAAAAATCATAATCAATAAAACAATAGACGTGTAGGGAAGGGCGTCGCTCTCTATTGGGATAAATGCCTGCTTATAGTCGCCATTAGTCTTCGCCAATTGGATCAGACACTGCAGAAGCCACGGAAGACCTAATCCGACGACTATAGCGAATATGTTGGACGCGATGGCGGCGCACATACCCATCGACGCCAACCCATGTTTTTTGATCACTATTATCGATGTCACCAAATCTGGTACTAAAACCAAGAATATTTCAAAATATTGTTTCATTTAGGAATTTCAATCAGAATTATCATTTAGTTACCAGCAGATCCGGCTGCTAATAGTGTCATCCCTGATATAGTTTGGGGAATCGCAAGGGCATCACCTATCGTGCAAACAAACAATTCATTATTATTTAAGTTTTAAGGAATAGAAATTAATTATTTACTAAATCCACTGATAGCCCAAACGGTGCAATACGACAGTCCGGTTAACCATCCGATAGAGACAACAAATGTAAGAATCTTCCATCTCTTAGGCATTGTCACCCAAAACACTATATAAACCGGTGATAGTATGAGTGAACAGAAACAGTTGTTCATAATAGAGCTCTCGTTGTCATCGTTGTCTTGAAATTGCATTTTCTGGTCTACAATCTCTTCGTAACCACTTTTAACGTTTAGTGGATTCAGTTTGCCACTATTGCCGTAATTTGCATCACAATTGGTGGCCAAGTGTTGCAACACAATGAGAGTCTTGTCATTGAGCAGTGGAGTGCTTTCGGACCTCTCAATAGTGACTGATTTCTGAGTGCATTTGTCCAGATAATTGTCGTTAGACTTCATGGACTGCTTTGCGTTATATATCATTACTCCCACATAGAGTGCAAAGAGTAGTGTCAGTAGTGATGAATCAATTCTATTTGTATTA